AAAAACCACAACACAAAACCAAAAAACCGAAACCAAGCAAAATCCCCCGAAAACAACCAATGAAGCAAAAACTCCAGCCAAGAAAAGGAAAAAAAGAAAATAATAATAATAAAACAAAAAGCCACATGGAGCTTGAAAATAAGTCCAGGATCTCAGGGCCGGTGAGGAGATAATGCCCCCGGTCAGGGCTGTCCCGGGAGGGCCCTGGGACCCTCCGTCCCTTCGGCGGGCTCGGGCAGTTCCTCCGGCCGGGGATGCCCTGGGGTCGGGGGTCTCTTTTCCCCCTGCTGCATGGGGCTGTGCCCCCTCCTTGCCCGGGGGACCCCTCAAGATGAGAGCCCGCAGAGCGCCGGGGGCTGCTGAGCCTCGTCGGACCCCGAGATCAGTGAGAAACTGTGGGGGATGCTGAGGATGCTGAGGAGATCAGGGTCTGGGGGCTCCGACGGATACAGGAGCGGGGGTGCCGCTGTGCCCCCCCGATTTTAACGCCGGGAGCTGATCCCGCACCCCCCTCCCCTCTCTCCGCTGGCACCTCCTCCGCCCCCGCCACCCCCTGCCCGGCTGGGAACACCCACCCGGGGTCACTCTGCCTCTGGCGGGACGCCCTCTGCTCCTGCCCCGTTTCCAGGAGCGGGAGAAAAAGATTTTCTATAGCGGCGACTGGAAAAATAAAAGGACTTTCTCCCTTCTCCCCCCGAATTACTACCGACGGCTGAAATTGAGTAGAAAGCACAAAAATAGGAGTGAGGGCGGCGAGGAAGGGCTACGGGACACAGAAAGAGGGAGAGGAAGAGAGGAAAACCTGGAAAGATGGGTTGGAGCATTTACCTCTGCTTCTCTCCCCATCGCTGCCCGCAGTGCACCGGAGGAGGCTGGAGAGGCGAGCGGACCGACGGACGGACTGACGGACGGACGGACGGATGGAGGCAGCAGCGTCACTCCGGGGCTCTCCCTAACTCCCAATTAACCCAAGCAGGATAATGGTGCCAAACCTTATCCAAAGGTTAGCGGCTCTCAGGGGGGCGTTTGAGCTGCAAATCGTTTCAGCCGAAGCTAAAAGGCGAGAGCGAGCCCGCGAACGAGCCGCAGCCTCCCCTCTGCCAGCGCTGGAGCCGGCAGGCTCTGGCACTGTCTGCTTTCTCTGCAGCCGCTCCCGGGGCGGGCTGAGGGTCTCCTGTAGCCCCCCGAGCAGCCCTAGGGGTGTGCAGCCCTGCTCCTGCGGGGAGCAGCTCGTCCAGACCCCCCCGCCATCCTCCCCAGGCACGTCCAAGCCGGAGGAGCAATTCTGCCTTATCTCTGCAGACCAGGCTTGCGAGGGTTGTGACTGGGTCTTCTGATTATTAAATTGAGGGAAAAGAGCTTTTTGTGCTCAAAAATCATTCAAAGCAAGCCAGGAAGGCCAGTCCTGGGTGTGCTGTCTTTCTAAATCCCTCATCACCAGCTCTTCTCCCAGCTGCTGGGCAGCACAGAGCGGTTCCAGTTGCACAAAGGTGCAGATATTTGGGAGCAGGATGGGCATCACTCCTAGTTCACTGCTCACTCAGGCTCCCAACCCACAAAGGATTTGATTCTCATGGGTTTTGGGGGGCCGCGAGCTGCTACAAACACACTAGACTGCAAATTGTGACCATATTAAAAAGGGGGTGTGCAAATCCTGAATGCTCACCTTCATCCTCCCCTGTAACACTCAGGGAAAGAGTGGGTGTCCAAATGCAGGTGTGCAACCCCCTGATTCCTGCTCAGTCTCCTGGCCTATGGCACGATATTTCCCCACACCCCTCTAACCTGCTGCAGGGCACCTCCAGCACAGCTGCCAGCTGCTGAGACAGGAAGGTTGAGAGGCACCTTCTGCCCAAACAGCCAAGAAAATTCCACAGTCACATCTGCCTGAAGAATAGAACTCACACAGGTCAGCCCAGGCATTCTTGGAGCAGCAGCCACCCCTCTGGACAGGTACATGTGCACCAAGGGAGGCCATCCCAGGACATGGAAGTGGTTCTACCTTCCTGCAGCCGTTGCCAAAAGCAGCTCTTGGGTTTCTGGCCAGGCCGATGCCAGCCCTGCAGCAGCAGCAACGCACAAGCACCAGAGGCTGCCCAGCCGTGCCTTCATCCCAGCTCTGCCTCCTCATCCCCCTCCACCACCGTGCCGGCAAACTCTGACAGGATAATGAAGAGTTGCACGATATACTATAAAAAGGCAATTAGATAAACTGCTGGATTGGGACCAGCTCCTGTGACCTAGTTAATAGCTC